GGGTGTTAAATTCCTATCTTTATCTATGGATAGTTAGTTTTATTATATATATATATATATATATATATGACTATTTCACTGGTGAGTATTATATTCAATATGCTATACATGGAAATGGATTATCATATTATGTATATGAAATCTTTTCTCGTTTAGTTATCTATGGATAGGCAAATGCACCATTCTCTGGACATTTGTTGTCCCATTTCTACCAGCATAGCCCAGGTACAAGCAGAAATCATTAAATAGTCATTCGGTACTGTCGTTACTATGCCTACCAAGTTTAGAAACTGGCAGGGTGTCGTGCTATATATTCTAGGACTACAAACCCTAAAACGCCTATCCGGAACGTTTTTGAGCTTCCCTTTAGTCATGATTGGCCCTGCCTATGTCACCCGTGAAAAACCTGCCTACCCTGCCTATGTCACCCGTTAATAACTCTACCTACCCTTTGTCACCAGTTAATGACTCGGCCTACCCTGCCTATGTCACCCGTTAATAACTTTGCCTACCCTGCCTATGTCACCCGTTAATAACCCTGTCTACCGTACTTCCCCATACATCTGCAGTACTTATACCGCCTGAGACTGCTGTACTTCATCTCCATCAACGAGACTGTCCACGCCACGGAATGGGCCGAGTGTGAAAAAATCGAAGCGGAAGAGTTCGCATCACTACACAAGCTGCATGCGGCAGAGGAGAAGAAGCTGGAAAAGGAGACGCACTGGGGGTTCACTAACAAGATCACCGGTATGTGCACTGGGATTCAAGGGTGCATGACTGTGCCTGAATTGGTTGGTGTCTGTATGTATGTATGTATAAATATATATATATGTGTATATGTATGTATGTACATGTCTATTTTTATATAAATCTATATATTATATGTAGGTTATTTAGTCGTGCAGATGAATTTATCGTAGTATGTTCTACGCAATCAACTATCTGCAGGTAAAAAAGAGATCAACGGAGAGGTTGTCAAGAAGGCTGACTATCCGCAGGTAGTGGAGGAGCACAAAGCCAGACTCGCTGAGAACATCAACAAAGAGACAGAAGAGAAGAAGGCCATGCAAGCCAAGCGACGAGTGGACTTAGAGGCAGCGCAGAACGCGATAATTTCGGAACTCATCATCAAGCAGTCCAGCTTGTTGAAGAATATCAAGTCGGATGATCGTTACTAGGCGAGAATGATAGGACATACGAGTGAGTGTATATACGAGGATCTGAAATGTCATTGGACGCGCTCTTATCGGTGGGTGGTGGATGGCCAGATTGTGTGATACCTGATGCCAGAGACGGGAAGACGCGTCAGGTGTACCGAACTTTGCCGGTCAAATGTGGAAGGAACCCAAACACGAACCAGAAATATTCAACACCGGCCTAGTGCCGACGCCGCCAGTATTCTTGTGGCATACCTTTATGGTGTGTTTGAAATCAGAATATAACGGATGGGCTTGTACCTTAAAAGAGGCGAACTATCCATTCCAAATAAACAATCCTGCAGACCCCATGCATAGAATGCATGACCTCGGGAAAGAGGACCAATATATCAAGTACCCATCTTTTCACCAGGTTGTGTATCCTATCAAAGGTTAATGCACATACGCTGAGATAAAAAGGATGTGCTTGTACAGTGTAGATATATATATACACCTATGTATAAATTCATTTCTATATTTTTTTTAGCCTAATGATATATCTATCTATATATATATAAATATATATGTATGTATATATACATGTATTTCTATTTCTATCTATATATTTATTGATATATATATATATATGTGTGTGTGTAAGTGCATGTATATATTTGTATATATATATATTTCTATCTATATACTTATTGATATATATATATGTGTGTGTGTGTTCATATATATATATATATACATATATATATTTATATTTGTATCCTTATTTTATAATATA